AAAGTATATTACATAAACTTTAATTTAGGATATATATAAAAGTATAAGTATCTCCGGAACACTTTTAAAAATTAAGTTGAAAAAGTTCTACTTTCTATATGCATTTTAAAGTTTTGAACCCCCCCTCTATTAAGGAAAATGATCTAAAAAAAAGCATGTCCAATGATAGAAAATACAAAAATAGCAAAAAAATTTAATAACTATTTTTAAACTAAAAACAAAAAAAGTCTGAAATTTTTTTTTTTCCATAATAAATTATAATACATTATTTTTAATTTAAAATATATTTGAAAGTGTCAGTATTTCTGGAACACTTTTAAAAGTTAAGTTGAAAAAACAATTTTGTTATAATAAACAAACACGTTTTGATTCGCGTAATCAACCGTGGCCTGACCATCACTACACCGTGGTACTATAGCTCCAATCGACACAAGATCACGTAACCTCACTTTGACGCTCTTACACACGAGGTTACAAAATAACTGTATATTCAAATCAGCCACACGCGACAATCTGACAAATAAACCAAAAATATAATGTACCTGTTTTGCTCCGTACTCTCTTCCCACCCTTAACTCACAGGTTGGCGAGTAAGACCGTCACACAAGCACACACGCAAACTGTTTTTTTCTTCGATAGCCTGACAACTGCAGGTATCTTTCTCTCCTCTACGGATTATTGATAATAGGTTACATATGAACAGTGCTCGAATTGGGGGGGTGCGCAGGGGGACGTAGCTCCTCTACTTTTTTTTATTGTGACGGGAGGACGGTGGAAAATACCACCTTTTTTTTTTTTTTAAAATATTAGTATGATAATGAAATATGATTTATTAATAAATACTAAATAAAGTAATGAGTAAAAAAAAAAAAAAAAAGGTCTTCAAAATGCTAGGGACGCAGTTTTCAAATTGTTAAGTTGAGCTCCCCTACTTATTTTTGGCCAATTCGAGCACTGCATATGAATAATCAATAAATATAATTAAATATTTTATAAATTAATATTTTTAATTACAAATAAGTTGAAAAGCTTTACTTTCTATACGCATTTTTAAGTTTTGAACCCCTCCTATATTAAGGAAAATAGTCCGATTTAAAAAAAAGTATATTGAATGAAAAAAATATATAAATATTACTTTTCAAAAAAAAATTGAATTGATCCATACATTTTTCAAAAAGTTATAGCATTTTTAAGTTAAAAATATAAAATATAAAATCGAGAATTTTAACACAAAATTAGCGTTTGGTATCCATTTTCACCATGAAGACAAAATAAAGTCCAAAATTTTTCTTTTCTTATAATAAAGTATATTACATTAGCTTTAATTTAAAATATATATAAAAGTGTCAGTATTTCTGGAACACTTTTAAAAGATAATTAGAAAAAGTTTTTTGTGATAAAGTTGTTATTTTGAATTCCCCCCTGTGGGCAGGTAAAGAGTCAAATTTATAAAAAAATATGCCAAATGATAGATTAATACTTAATATATCTATTAAAAAAATTATATTGATCCATACGTTTTAAAAAAGTTATAGCATAATAAAGATAAAAATGTAAAATACAAAATTGAGAATTTTCATACAAAAATAGTGTTTGGTAGCCATTTTCACCATGAAGACAATTTAAAGTTCGAAATTTTATCCATAAATTAAATTTACAAACGCACAGGAAGTAGTGGGATAATTGCCTTTTTTGGATTTATTAATAAAACGAATAGATGAAGACTAAATGTTGAAATTTATCGGAAAAACACACACACGTTTAAGTACATTACGAACAATTTGAACCACAGCTAACATCACACAATGGCAGCTTTTAATAGTATGGTTTACAAATCAGTTAATATTCCGATGAATAAAATAGATTTCGATATAGAACTGAGGGTTATAAGAAAAATAGCGAGATTTAATGAATATGAAGAAAACGTAAATTCAAAATTAGTCTTAAGACAAATATGGAGAGAACAAAAAGTAATTTGATCGCCTATTTTATATTATCAGGGCATTTCGAATAGGCTAACTAGAATTTTTAGAAGGTGTTATTTTAGAAACATGAAGTAATAATTTAAAGATTTATTAGGTAACCCTAAAAATAAAGTGGAAAAAAGAAGAAACCGGACATTTATAAAATACAATATGAAAGTTGTAATCAATTTTGAATTCCCCCGTGGGCAGGTAAAGGGTCATATTTATAAAAAATATATACCATAAGATAAGTAAAAATATCATGTATCTATAAAAAAATTTTTTTTATTGATTTGGTCATTTTAAAAAAAGTCATGGCAGTTATAAGTAAAATTGAAAAAATGTCGAAAATTAGCGATTTTTAAATTTGTAACTTTTTTGGAGATTTCCCCTATTAAAGGGGAAAAAGGGAAATTTTTTTAATTTTTGAGGGTAATGTCTTCGACTAGTACGATTTGTGATATTTTGACGTATTTTTGAAAGAAAACGGTTCAGCAAGAGCTGAGAAAAAGTGATAACAGACACATACACAAAAAAAAACGCATCATAGAAAAATTAATACCTACTCAGCTTCGCATCAAAGCTAATAATTGACGATAACGTGATAACCCATAACGGTTATCAACAAAAAACCGATTTATAAACAAACAGAAAACATAAGCCAACAATATAGTTATAACCTTGGACTTGTAACAATCCAAACGTCAGAGTTAAACTGAATAAATATAAATATTTTAAACAAAATAGTTAATTTTTTTAAATTAAAAATTTATATTAATTTAATACAAAAATGTGTAAAACTCAAAATGCCAAAGAAATTACTAAAATTGAATAGAATTGAAGATAAATTAATTATCTAAATTTTTATATTACATTAGTCATCTGTATCATGTTTTATGCGTGGTTGATAAATCTTTTTTACAAATTTTTGTAATTAAAAATATTCAGCAAAAAAAAAAAATTGCAAGGAGATGAGACTGGGAGGGCAATTTTCTACTTGATCCTCCCTCATAAATACTTTACTGTATTCAACCTCACTTTCTATTTTGTTTATAAAATTTTAGTTAACGAGCGAATATTATGCAATAAGCAATATGTTGTTTATAGATAAATGCAGCGTTTTTAAAAATTGTTATAAATATTTTAACGATCATGAATAAAAAGGTTCAATATTTAACGGAAAAAATAGGTAATATATTGTAGGAGTTGACAAAGTATAAATTTGAAAATAATGTTTTGTAAAAAAAAAAAAAAACTTCTCAGAAAAATATCAAAACTCAAAAATGAATAAAATTATATTTAAAAAAAATATAGGCATTCATTCGTCTTACTGTCTTACTACAAAAATTAGTAGAATAAACATATTGAAATTAGTAGAATAAATAATCCTGAAAAATTGTAATTTTATAAATTTTTGATTTATATATAGATACTATTGTGCACTATTGTATAGAAAGCATTTTACCTTTTTATTTAGATAGTAATTTGCACTTCTACAGTGGAGATTTTATAAACAGCGTAATTTCTTAACTACGCACTTAAATGTCTTCGAAAATATTAAAGATATATATTATAAACATTGATCATTTGTAGCTAATTAATGAAACAAAATAAACACTATATTAATAATATTTTTAAAAATATACATTAATTTATTTTTTAGCTTCAATGCGAAGCTAAGCAGGAACTATTTTTTCTATAATGTATGTATTTTTGTGGTTGTTTATGAATGTTCTTAGATCACACTGGACTTAAATTGTTGGTTTTTATATTTAAAGAAAAATAATTATACGCTTAAAGTCTGAAAATTTTTTTTTAGCTATTATGCTAGTTTTTTAAAATTCTCGTTAATATTTCTATATAATGTTCGAAATTTTATACTTGTGAGTTTATTTAAGAAAGTTAAGCTTAAGTTTTTGTAAAATCACTAAAAACACACATTTAAAATTTATAAAATAGGCTGTGCATGATGAATTTGTCTGAAATTTTCTTAAAAAACTTTTGTAACATTATAAGAAAAATTTTAAGGATTATTTAAAAAAATTTAATTTTAATTTTTTTTAATGTAAAATTTTACTGTTTTACAAATTAGTAAATATTTAAAAAAATAGACACAATGGAAAAATTCTAAAGGCAAATTTGAAATCGGTTCAATAATTGGCTTAGAATCATAAACAGAATGATTGTTTTATTGTTGATCTCTCGTAAAATATTTTAATTTAGTTTAAAAATTAGATTATAACTGTAGAACACAATTCATATTCGATTTCTTCTCTTCCTAATAAATTTTGCATGGAACAACATTTCATCATCATCATGTTAGCCTATATCCTAACAATTTTAGATCGGCTTTACTTTATGATTTGACGGGTTTTTTACACCGGCTGTCTGTCTGACGCAACGTCATTATGTCTCAAATATTCAATAAGGGCACAATTTGTGTGTCATTATTATTAAAGTTTCAGTGTGGTTACCCATCTGGGATCAACAGTCAATAGCATTGCTGAACATCAGCGTTAAGGCGGCGGTTAAATGATCCACTACGTCATCCCACGCACCATGTAGCAATATTTACAGATTTTTTTTTTAAGACAATGGCACAATTTAGGGTGGTCAAATTAATACATAGTGTAACTTTAACGAAGTTCAATTTTATTAATCAGTTTTACCAATTACAAATGTAAGATTTGATACAGCAGAGAGAGAAAGGCAATTTTTTACTGCAGCGTGTGTGCACGTCTGGAAAATACAGGGTAATATGGGAATCGAGTGCAGAATGAGTGTATGTGTGTGCCAAATGTAATGGAAGGGGTTTGGGGGATTGCGTCAGAGGAAAGAAAAGATGAGGAGAAATTATCCCTGGACGTGAATGCGCGCGCATTCGTTGGGTCACCCGTGGCAACCGGGTGATCATTGTGTCGGTGGAATATAGCCGGATGCCGGTAGGACAGGGCAAAGTGAACACTAGGGAGGAGTAGGGGAGCGCTCCGGTTGCGGCTGACGTGTCGTCTTGGTCTTACGGCGCGGTAATCCCACAATGGGCTGCAGTACACACAGCGTAACCGTCGCGGCCAGGCGCCACGAACATCGGGTCGCGCGCGCACTCACCACGCACTTCGACCCGGACAGCTTCACGTGAGTACTTTTGTGAACGATTCTTGATTTTGGTACCATTTTAATACTTTACCGTGATTGTCACTTGCTACGTCCCACTTGGGGTACACCACGGAAAATGTCTACGCGGACATACGCCGTCCGTCGACATCATCTCCTCCGAACCGATGACCAATGTCCAACCGTTACATTACCACGTGCGAGTAAACCCTGTTTGATGTCATCAAACGAAAATTAGGAAAAGCAAAGAAATTATTTTTCATAATCTAAGCAAGTACGGAATTTGATGTATTTATTAATGACTTATAATAGTGTTATTCTGTTGATTTTATTTTAACTCAACAATTACAAAAAACAATTGTAAATAAATAACAAAGAGAGACGCGTGTAATTATGTAATTGAATATAAATAGGTCAAATTTTTAGTTCGTATTTATTTATCTGTCATAAAAATATAGTTGGGAATTATTTTAAGTGTATTTATTATTGCACGCTGTAATATTCGGGAAGAGTTAGAAAATGAAATATGTTATCCGGTTTAGGTCATGAAATACATTCAATTAATGAATTATTGACATTATATGACTTGAAAGCTTTTAAACATTATTTTGGTGGTAATTTTTAATACTTTAGCACAAAAGAGGTAATGATATTCTTACGCTCATAGGTTCCCGCAATACATTACCGGGCACGCGTTTCGCATAATATAATAATTTATGTGTTTGTGCAAATGTTGAATTACGAACGGAGATATATTATTGTAATACATTAGACCTAATTAGGTAGTTATTAGAGTAACATCAGTGAGTAATGTATTGCTGTAATGAAACGCGCGGTATAATAAATTAACGAACATAAATCGGGCCAATGCGTCACAATAATAACTACTGTGACGCCTTTAACAATAACTGTTACTGTTAAAGGCAATCGTTAATTGGATAGCTTAATAAAAGTCTCATTATTTATGAATATTACTAGCCAACTGAAATAAAATTAATTATTATTACTTATCTAGTCAGGTTTAGTCAAATTGTTTTGGTGAAAACGCATGTACAGCTATTTGATTAAATATGATTGGTTTATTTCACATACAAAATATTTTATTATAATTAGTTACCAATGTGTAGTAATATTTTAGAATCAGTAAAGTGGTTTTCAAATTTAGTCAAGAAATGAGAAAACAGCTAAAAGATCAATCTTATTAAATCATCAACGCATAAGTACAATTCAGTTTAAAGTATCCTTATAGCTCTTTCATCTCCGAATCAAGTGCTCGAATCAAGTATCGTTTAATCCTTTGTTGTGATTTTCAAGTATTTTTGATGAGTTTTTTTGGTAGTAATTGAATTATTTATTTTTTAAATAAAAATGTTCATTTTAATACTCAATTTCACCGTAAAATTAAAAAAAATAATATTTTTATCTATAAATGTATTATGTGGATCTTAACAGTCAATGTATTATTAATTAATGTAATTTTTCTCCAGTGATACTTTTTCACTAATGTTAAGCTTCAAAAATGTGTAACGTACAAACATTTCAATAATATTGAGTAGTTTTATTTATATTACACTTAGCGATATAAATATAGATTATTCATAAGGGGTTTTGAATATATAATACCCCACCATATTATTTATAATTTTATTTTATTACATGTAAAAATTTAATAATGGAAGGGTTTGATTTTCCATCTTATTTACTCTTCTTATTACACTCAAAAAAATGTTTTTTTATTTTTAAGTATGTTATATTTTTCTCTTTTTATGTTTGACTCTTGTTAATATTTGGATGACTTATCTACTTATTTTTTGAATGAAAAAAATGTTTCATCGTATAGATGATAAGAAATTTGTAAGATGATAGTATTAAATTTTAAATAAATTGGAAAATTTATTGGACTAACAAAGTAATACTTGCTATTAACTGTAGTTATGTAAATTAATAATAAATGTAATACTACAATGAATTTTTTAAATATTTTTATTTTTAAAGAATATTTAAGGAAAATTCAATGTGATAAAATTTTTTTTTTGATAAATTTTATAGAACTTTTTACTGAACAACAATTTATATGTTAACAGTATATAAAACAATGATATGACTGAAAGGTTTATTGCATTAAACATATTCTATATTCAAAAGCAAATCTAAATATTATTTTGCACTATCTATTTAAAAACTGCAATGGCGTAGATAATATATTACATAAACAGGTTACGAAGAATTTTTCATATTTTACTTGGAACGATCTACGACGAGAAAGTATAAAATGACAGTCTTTTTATGCCAAACCGGTATAAATAATCTGTTTTGACATAAAAATCACATCTAGTAATCGAATTTTTTTGACAGAATTCTGGAAAAATGTTGAAATCTTTTTCAAAATGTATTTTTTATAATGTACAATTTCCTTTTTTACTTTAATTTTTATTTAACTTTATATTAAAGGTTGAAATGATGAAAACAGTAACTCAAAACCTTTAAGTTATCTTATTTTTTAGTTTCCGGTGATATCCTTTATCTGAACATTAATCATCAGTTGGTTTGACTTAAACGGCTCTTTTTTTGAAATGGCTTGACACTCGATCAACACCATTGTCAATATAATACTATTAAAACGCTTCGCTTTCAAGTTATAACGATGCCAAACACCATTCGGTATTGTATAGCCTTACCAGAAAACCATTACATCTGTCATTTTCTCATAACAAACGCACGCCGCCATAGAAAAAGGAGTATGTGTTTTTTTAGGCATACTGCACAGTTTCCATTGAACACTTTTCTGTTCAATTAACTTCACGCTTATGTCAGTCGATCAATGTCAATATTTAAGGTAGTATTACGTCATAAAAATTTCTTGGACAATTAGTAAGAAGTGATAGTTTTAGCGGTCAATACAAAAGTATAATATGGTGCAATAAAACTTGTCTTTTAACTTATCAAAAAAATGTTCATCAATTACTGATAGCAAATATTTTTTATTTTTATAATCAATTTAATGAGTTTATTAACATTAGTAGAATTTTGTTATAGTATAGTATATAAGTTGAGTACATTTCCAAATGCAAACATTTTCATAATGAGAAAAGATTTTATTAGATAAAAATTTATTGGAAATGCTTATGATAAGCATTACCATTAAGGCATAAATTTGAAAACTTTTTACGTATTTTTCGTTATGTGATAAATAACGTTAATTAAATTTTTAAATTTAAAGTTTTTTTTTAATCATAACGGTGTTATATTATCGCGTAAAATGTTTTCTGATATAATAACGTTATTTTATTTTTACATTTAACATTTTGATAAAATAAAGTTATTTCATTTTTATATTTTATATATTCAATTATTTGTCAGGTTTTTCATTATTATATTATTTTATGCCTTTTACATAAATTGAATTCAAATTTAACTTTTTAAATAGTTTAAAAATGTATGATGCATTGTTTTTGAAAAAAAAAAAATGTTAAACCAAGTAAAAATCAAATCACAGGATATTCTTATGCTTTAATAACATTTAATTTTAAACTATTAAAGTTATTATAAAATTTCATAATTCTTTTAATGTTATTTTGCGCTTCACAATAAAAATAATTTTGACGTTATGTGACATTTTATTTTTTATGTGAAACTGGGTTAAAGTTTTACTGTATTTGAAAAGAAAATATATAAGTAGTTAATAAGTCATTGATGTTATTGCCTCAATATTCACTGGAGTAGAATTTTCATAGGTAGAGAGAAAATCTGAACTTTCTGAAGGTATACGTTTTTGGTTCTTTGGCCAAAATTTATAGTTTGATAACTTTAAAATGTTAATTATGATTTCTTTAGGATTTTTATTTAATAATAAAAACTCTATCAAAGCTTAGAAACAATGTTGACGTATAAATTGTATGTAAGTTAAAAGTTTTAAAACATCAATTGTTCGCTCATTTATATAATCTTATGGCATATCAAAATATTATAGGCTGCGATTTACAACAAAGGTTCATATTTTTATGAACATTTGTTAAAAAATTGAGATGTTTTTTTTGTTCATCAATGAAAAATATAACTATAAACTGTAAATTGTTTTTATGTTGTGATTTTTGTTATTTTTGTTATTTTAATATCAACCAGATCTTTAATATTTGTCATAAATGAAACATTTTAATATCGTCACTTTCTTTATTCTCAAATTACATAACTTTATTTTTTGAAAATTTTTTGGAGGAATAAATCAATGTATCATTTATGTATAACTTAAGAAATAGGATTTTTAATACTTCGTTATTTCAAAAGAAATTACAGATTTTTTACTCCAAAAATCCTTAAAATGTGTGTCACTATTGTAAGCAAGAATTTTTCGTAAAAAAAATATGATAATGTAAAAATTCATGATTTTGTGATGGAAGCGACAATATATTTTTATTTTAAAAAAATCACTAAAAATGACTAAAGTTTTAAAATCATTATTTAGAGTAACATTCATTTTTAAGAACGGTAGCATAGTGAAAACGTGGCATAGTTGAAACAAGTATAAATGATATCTGACAGAGATTACAATCACTATCATAAAAACCCTTCGATGTAAATCTGTATATAGTGTTGAATTTTAAAAAAATTGGTCAATTATTCCAACAAAAAAATGAACTTCTATTTCCTTAATAATATTTGATTTAAGTTTCATGATTTATAAGTATAATATAAGAATAAATACTTTGTAATTTATAGCTTATATGTAGTAATTAATCTTAGTATGAAATTGATATTCAATTATTTAGTATTATAAAAAATTGTAAAGCTGGTAGAATATAATTATGTGGAATATAGTTATGAATATTTCAATTTTAATATCTATTTAAACACCCAAGAATTTCATAGAAATCATTACTATGATTTTTATTAAAATTATTTATTTTGAAATTAATAGAAAAAAAATAAACACATCATGGTAAAATTAATACCTTCTCAGCTTCGCATCGAAGCTAAAAGTTATGACAAATTTAAGTAAAATTACAATTGGTGATTTTTACACCAAAATAATATTTTTATATAATTTCGGGTTCCATTTACATATAGTAGACGGGACAAATTTTTTTTTATTTACCTTATAGTATGTAGTATAAACTTTAATTTAATATATATTCGCAAAGTATTTTTGGAGCCTTTTCAAAACTAAAGTTGTAGAAGTTCAACTTATTATTTGTATTTTTGAAGTTTTCAACCCCCTCCTGTATAAAGGGACATGGTTCAATTTAAAAAAAAAAGTATATCGGATGAAAAACATGT